AAAAGCATATAATAGCAAAGAAAGAAAAATTATGGTTAAAATACAAGGGAAATATACAACGTATGAGCCATGGATAGTACATGATGAAAAAACAAATAAAAGGTCCGGCAGAATAAAAAAACCACAGAATTCAAGTATATCTATGTTCAAACTGATTAGGAGAAAATTAACCGAACAGCATAAAGATATTAACCAGATCAATTGCTCTATCTCAAAAGTTGAGATTTTCTAAGAACAGGCATAATTTAGTAATACTACCAAGCATCCTCAACAAAAGAAATTGCTGCGATAGTAAATAGATTTTTCTATAATTCATACCAATGAATTAAAGGCATTTGTCACAGCACTCCAGGAAGATCAATAAAGTATATGGCAAGGCCATTAGAAAAATACAAAAGAATATAAAACTGCAGCAAGATTACCACAAAAGTGACAATCTCGGTCCAGACTATAGGCTATGCATCACATTATAAACTTTGGAACACCCATTAGCAGCAATGCTCTTAAGAAAAATAGTGACGACGCCAAAAAAATTCTCCCTCTTATCAATAGGAAAGTGCATAAAAAATTGAAAAAAAAACCCTATATATTTAAATATAATCGGAAAATCAGTACAGATAAGATGCTTCATGTCACAACATGTCTTCATTTGTATGAAATAAGATTATACAATAGAGAGGAAACTTTATGCACTAAATGACAAATATACGCACCATAACATAAGTATCCTTTTCAGGATCAAACTTGGTTGTAACTTCTGGTCCCCAGCTTCCAAACTGACGGAGGGGAAGTACTTCAAAACCTGGCAATGAAGCTTTGGCCCTACCATGTAGAGATGATCAGAGCAGTTAAAACTTAAAATGCAAATCACTGGCAAGGGATCAAAACAAAAAGGAAATGAAAAGCAAATTAGAAAAAAAAAGAAGGATACCAAAAAATCTTAGGACACACATATTGTCATGCACCCAACAAGGAGATATGGTGAGAGCTGCCTCCCTTCCCCTCAACCAGATTTTTTTGCTCAAGAACAAACCTCAATTTCATGGATTATAAACATTTACCCATAACTCCTTATCTCGCAAGTTGACAATTGCAAGAAGACCTGCTATTTATAATCCACAAAGTAAACCTCTTAATCCTCTAATTAAACTGGCTGGTGAATTAGATGCCTTTCTAGAAAAAAATACTGCAAAGTAATCAAGTTCACGCAAGATCCCTAAATATGCAGACAGTGCTTACAATTCTTCATTTACTATGGATGATTGTAAGATGTACAATATCAACCTATAAGTTCTTTAATCCACACAATACTTGGAAAAAACTGCTCATATTTAAATCATCACCCAAAGAATAATAACAAGATTTCGAACTGAAACATGCTATAGTTATAAACACAGTAAAATCATGAAGGATAAAAATATCAAGAATTTGGAGGACATGTCAGTAATCAATAAAACTTAATTTCAGAAAGAAGGAAAAAAAAGGCTGCTTGAGTAGGAGAGCAAAATGCAAAAAGAGAGCATACACTTCATCAGGTTCTCGAACATCAATCAATTGAGCTTCTTTGGCAAATGTAGGATCTTGGATTTTTACATGGAGCTCATCTGCTTGAATTTCCCCAAGTAGAGATTCTTCCCTGGTAGCACAATTTACAGATTCAAAAGAAACAAATTCATGGAAAAGTACGAGTAGGTGCCAATACTGCCTTCTCTTTGGCACAGAAATCAAATGGAATAGGATTCTTTAGCATACCTCTCAGAAAGAACTTGCAACAAATGCCACCCAAATTTAGTTTTACACCTTACAACTTTGTTCAAAGGGGCACTAAAAGCAGCTTCCTCGAATTCTGGTACCTGTGACACTTGAACATTAATTATCAAAGTGATCGCCAGGTAAATTTGAGTTATTCGTATCTTTGGTGTCTTGAGTGTGAGTAAAGCCAATCCATCCATCTACACTTAAAATGTTAAGGAAAATCATTGAATTCATTGGGCAGTTCATTAAAACCTGAGCTTCCTAAGGTACCAGGACTTGTTTGCCAAATTTGCAGATGAGGCCACCAACTATGATATAACCACTAAACTTATTAACAGCATGCTCCTACCTTCCTGGCAAGAAATGGAACAGCAATGCAACTTAAAAAACCATACTCTCGTTAAACCATGTGTTCCCTGGTGAACCTCCCATTAGTGAATACAAAATACCAACCAGGAATTAAGGAATTAATTTAAAATTTTCAACGCGCATGAAAATGAATTTCATCGCAATCCACATACCATTTGCCCTTTTCTAACCCAGCCAAGCATCCCCCCTTCTTCTTTTGATGGACATAATGAGTATTCCACTGCAAGGTCACTCAAATCCTCTCCTCCTTAGAATGGAAAAAACACAATAAAAAAATTAGTTTTAGAATAAATCTTGTATAATAGTTTAAACCGCATAACACACACTCTTTTCTATTTTTTCCAAAGAAAGACAACCTTTTATCGTCAAATAAATTATCAATGCAATCTTGATATAAAAATAAAACATGAATTCAAGAAGCAAATTCTGCATCGTACATCAAATGTATAATAGTGACTAACCTCCTGAAATTCTCTGTTGAAGCTCCAACAGAAGCTTGAGGTCATCTTCTTTAACAAGCAAGTGCTGCACCAATAACTCTCTTCCACCTCCAGTGCCGCTCCCAGAACTAAAAGAAGCTGAAACAGAGCACAAAATAATCAAAACTTTCGATGCAAAGTCCCATTATGCATGTTTAACAGACCAAAGTAGGAAAAAAGAAACATAGGGTTTTTGATAGAATTGCCCAGATGTACCTTTGGGACAAGATTGGTGACCCAACAATGGTAAGAACCTTTTGAAGGAGATAGGAGATGAACTGGGTGGTGCTGTTTTTGGAAGGAAATTATGAAGTGGAGCAAATGTAGAGAGTTTGTAAAGGTGAGGAAGTGAAGAAGAGAGTGAGAGGGCGGGAATCAGACAGATTTTGAGAGAAGAGAGTGCTGGTGTTGCTACCGGCGGGATGTGAGTTGCTCTTAACATTGCTTCTTTTTGTTCTTTTTTTTTTCAAGCTTTCAGAGTTAGAGAGACAACAGGGAATTGCGCGTGTCACCCTGCAATATAATGGGTCGACAATACCAATGGAAGTGATGAGTTCGAAGGAGAAACAGAATAAGAAACAGTGATCATTGTATGAGCCCATTGAGATAATAGGCCCATGCTGACAGGATGTGGCCTGGTTTAGGGGCTTGTTCGAGGAGCCCATACTCTTGCATAATTTTTCCATGTTTCTTGACCTCCATGAACATGAATCCCATCCTTCCTTCGGCTATTATGAATGGTAGCGGGTTAATTAGCACAACATTATCTATTGACGATAATGATGTCTATGTCGAGCTCACTGTCTGTCATTGTTGTCTCTTGTTACACCATGGTTGCTACAGGATAAGTTGCAGGACCTTTTTGGTTTGTAAGCCAGGCTGATTACCAGACATTTTTGCAAAACTACCAACGTTTTAACTTCTCTTACACTAAGCGAACAGAGCTTTCTATACGCCTCTCGTCCTCTCCAGAACAGCTAGAAGCCTCGTTTGTAGGAACTACTTCGTGGCAGGGGAATGGCCAGTAAGAATATAGTCTCATATATTAAGTGTTGAATCGTCATATTAAAGCCTGAGATAATATGCATGAATCCCGGAGAAAATAGAATTTTTAACACAGACATCTCGATCCATTCTAAAATTCTCAATGATCGTGCCGAAAAGTAGGTTAATTTATATCTTTAACACCTGAAATGGTTTGGTGCCAATATGTTAGAAGAGATCTATCTCTATTTTATAATTTTTTAAACATCTGTTAAGTTCATAATTTCTTCTTCCAAAGTATAATCTATCTCCTTTCTGCTATTCTATGTTATTTCGAAGAAATTGAAATAAAGACAAATAAAAATTTATCCCAAGAACAAAGCAAACTCCCATCCATCTTAATGTTTACCGGTGTCCAAATACCATCTAGTGTCAAAAAAATAAATCTATCGGAAAATTATTCTTGATATCTTATAATTTAGTTGATTTTACATTTGTCTGACGTGTTTTGAAAAATTAGGGCAACAAAAAATTTCAAATCTAATAAAAAAAAACCAAAATACACTCATATGAAAAAACCAAAAAATTTCAAAACCCAAATGACAACATTTTTCTCTCTCGCCAATCGATTGAAAATCTTCTCCAGAAAAATTAGTTTATCTCTCCTCCCGGACCCAACTCAAACAAAAAAAATTAGTGATTGTAATTGATTTTTCTCATGATTTCACAGTTTAGTGTGATCATTTCTTCTCATTGCTGGAATCTCGCACAAGCTTCATCAAAATCCAGATGCGAAGCGGCAAAACCCATTTCTACATCTCGAAATTCAAGATTTCTGTTATACATTTTGGTAATAATGGGTTCAAGGAATGTGTACAGGGGTGAGTAAGAAGATAGAGTGGATATAATTCCTACTCATGAACAAGATAAAGTGCATTGCCTTTTCTTTGAATTTTTAATTTGGTTTTGTATATTCTTGTTATTTATTTAAGAATTTAGGCGTTTACAAGAACTGGGTCTTGAACTTGATAATTTGAGGTGGTCTTTAGGTAACGGTAAATTATATTCATTGGACTCCCCGAAAGGAAGGCTGGGTATAGTTGAATACAGATGGTGCTGGTAGGCGTCAGAATACAGGCTTGAGACGGGGTAGAACCGGTTACAAGGCGGGGCTTCTGGAAGGAGGTGGATTCTCAATCAGGAATGCATGTCGTCATCACAGGTAGCAGAGACAGCAAGGGTCCTTGTGACAGGATATTATTTCGTTGAGTTGCTGTCCCCTTCTGTTACTGTGAGTCTGACTTCTCTTTCCTTGTTAGTTAAGACTTCCAAATTTGAACAAATTTACAAGCATAAACAAACTGAAGTGCAATAACCTATAAACACTGAGATAGTACTTGCACTAGGAGAACGCTTTTTTTCCCCTAAAATAATAAGGTGGGCAATTTCCCTGAAAGGCCTTCGCCACTGTTCCTCTACCAAATGTTATCTTTGCTCAGAAACTTATCATGGATGTGCATTAGCAGTTTTACATTGACCAAAAAATTGCACTTGCGATTGCAACAACAAAAGGAATTACAACGACAATGTCAGCATTCTTCTTCTTCTTTTTTTTCCGATTATTATCTGTGACCAGAAATCCAGTCGACACCATTTTCTGAGGTTGAAAACGTAAATGAAGACAAAAACAACGATGTATTGTGTAATTGGGTGACCAAAAGAAGCTCTACCTGGATGGCGTCCAGGCATAGATGAGCAACCCCAAAACAAGGACGATGGCTCCAGCGACAAAGCCAGTTGGAAGGGAGGATGCGACTCCAAGATATGGCAATGGCAATGTGAACACATACACAGCTATTGGTACTGCCATAGACAACACAAGGGAAAAACCAATTATCAGTTGAATAAATTCGTGATACAAATCAGCATGAGAAAGTGTTGAACGATTATGCTCTGATGATAGCTTCATGGAGTTGCAGCAAACCTATATGAAAGCTATCTTCACTGTATTTATGCGGCAGAATATAGTAAATGGTGAGATAGAAGAGCCATTATGCAAAGTTATTCAAAATAACCTCTCCATTTACTTCCCAAGTACCATGCCGACAAGTGTCATAAAGATTAAAGGCACTTTTAAGGAGTACGTTATGCGACTGTATTGGCACTTAAATGAAGCCACGCATTTTGATCGAAGTGTTCTTTGATGTCAATGTTTAACATGGATCGTTATGGTGCTTGTTCCCAAGATCCCAAATTGACAGGATTAAGAGTGTTGGGTATGCGACCAAAGTTTCATATTGGTTAGAAATGGGGAGGATCAAGGGTATATAAGGATGGACAAATATCTCCATTGGTATGAGGCTTTTTGGGTATAACCCAAGAGCAAATCCATGAGGGCTTAGGCCCAAAGTGGACAATATCATACCAATATGGAGATAGGTGGTGTCCGTAGTCCTTACAAGTGGTATCAGAGCCATGCCCCCGAGTTAGCCATGATGGATGAATCCTCGGAATGCCGAACAAAACTCCATTGGTATGAGGCCTTTTGGGTATAGCCCAAAAGCAAATCCATGAGGGCTTAGGCCCAAAGTGGATAATATCATACCAATATGGAGATAGGTGGTATCCGTAGTCCTTACAAAGAGTGTCCCTGTGAACAGTAAAAGTGGATGTTCATTTGGGTATGCGACCAAAGTTTCATATTGGTTAGAAATGGGGAGGATCAAGGGTATATAAGGATGGACAAATATCTCCATTGGT